TGTACAGACTGGACCCTGGCGCACGAGCGAACGTGGCCAGGTGGCGACCAGTCTGGGAGCACGTGCAAATCGCCACACGCTGCCGGCCAGGGGTGAAGGTGTCAACCCCCGCATCCTGGAGGACAGCGTTACTCACCAAGTTCGTAGAGAACGAGGGGAGGTGGAGACCAGACAGCTCACCAGACGGGACCGCCGGACACGGAAGCACAGTGGAAGACTGTGCAAGCACTGGGCCCCCAGAGGGGTCAGCCAGTGAGACAGGAACAGGTGCAGGGAGGGGAGTGACTGTGGTACTGTCGCGAAAGAAACAGCGGGAAGCACCAGAGTCAAGTGTAAAGGTGTGCAAAGCCTGTGCAGGCGCAGTACCAAGGGGAGCAGACTCACAAACACCTAGTGCTGCAGGGGCTATACCCGGGGTTATACCAGGATCCGGTGACACACACAAGTAGCAGTCACCCTCAGCACTAACAGACAAGGCATACATAGCAGCAAGAATTGCATCATAGTCAAGATCAAAGATAGGTACATCACGCCTAAGCAAGTCTGCCCAGTTGGGGAACTCAGTAGCATCAGGAAACTTGGCGCGCCAGGCGTCGCTAAGCCGAGCGAAGCAGCGCTGCTCAGTGTGAAAACCTGTGCACTGGCGACCAGCGCGGGGACCTGTACGGATGATATAGGGGCAGCGACCAGGACCCCCAGAAGCCCCACGCCCGGCATACCAGTCAAGAAGCTGCTGGGAAGTGGGGTTCTGGCGCTGACGCTGATGCTGCTGATGCTGTTGCTGCTGCTGCTGCTGCTGCGGCTGCTGCTGGCCCTGACCACCACTGCCACCACCGCTCCCTCCTCCCCCACCGCCGCTGCTGCCCCCTCCACCGCTCCCAGTGCCTCCGCCGCCCCCACCACCACCTCCACCGCCTCCACCCCCACGACCACCCCCACCACCTCCACCTCCCCCGCCGCCTGCACCACCGCCACCTCCACCGCCACCCCCACCGCCCCTGCCACCCCTGCCGTCCCTACCGCTGCGACGCTTCCCACTAGGAGCGGAAGCAGCTCCGACCCCCTCAGCACCAAGGTAGTCGTGAGCAACAGCTGCGGAGGCGTAGGAGGGGGTGAGAGGGGAGGGGGAGCACCCCTCAAAGAGGGGAGAGCGAGGAGTGCCACGAGCAGCACCTACAGTGAGGATGTTCTTCTCTGCTGCGAGGAGGTGCATCTCGAAGTCGTCTACAGTGAGAGTGGTGGGGTCTAGCGCTAGGAAGTGGTCCCTGACTGAGCTAAGAGTGTCAGGGAGGCTGGTGACGAGGAAATAGAGAGTGAAGTACATCGGGGGGGGGGGGGGGGGTTTGCGGCGCAGAACTCGGCTGAAAGGGCGGCACGAAAGCGAGAGTCAGTAGCGCGCAGGTGAGAAACTAGGTCCTCAGCAGTGGTGAACGAGGAAAGATCGGGGAACAGGTACGGTAGCATGAGTCGACCTATGGCTGCAGTGGCCGGGGAGGAGTAGCGCGCAACTACAGCGTCGTACAGTGTCTTAGCAGTTCTGTGCTGGCTGAAATGCGCTCGCTCAGTAATCGGCAGGTGGTTCCTAATAGCTAGGCGTGCAGCAGCATCACGAGTCTGCCAATGGGAGCGTTCTAGAGCAGGAGCATTAGCAGAAGGAGTAACGGCAGTGCCAGAGACGTAGTCAAACAGGGAAACGCCCTCTTTGGCATCAGTCAGAAGGAACAGCAGGAGATCGTCTAACCACACAGCGAACTCGATGGGACGACCGTCAGGCTCGAACGCTAGAACGTTAGGCGTCGCCATATTGGCTTAATGCAGGAGGCAGCAGGCAGCAGGCAGCAGGCAGAGGCAGCAGGCAGCAGACAAGAGGCAGTAGGCACCAGGTAGGAGGCAGGAGGCAGAGGCAGGAGGCAGGGGCAGCAAGCAGCAGGCAGGCGGCAGCAGGCAGCAGGCAGCAGGCAGGCAGCAGGCAGGCGGCAGGCAGGCAGCAGCAGGCAGCAAGCAGGCAGGCGGCAGCAGGCAGAAAGCAGGCAGGCTGCAGGCAGGCAGCAGGCAGGCTGCAGGCAGGCAGCAGGCAGGCTGCAGGCAGACAGCAGGCAGGCTGCAGGCAGGCGGCAATAGGCAGGCAGGCAAGCAGGCAGGCAGGCAAGCAGCAGGCAGGCAGCAGGCAGGCAGCAGGCAGGCAGCAGGCAGACAGCAGGCAGGCTGCAGGCAGGCGGCAGTAGGCAGCAAACAGGCAGGTAGGCAGGCGGCAGGCAGGCAGCAAGCAGGCAGGCAGGAAGCAGGCAGGCAGCAGGCAGGCGGCAACAGGCAGCAAGCAGGCAGGGAGGCAGGCGGCAGGCAGGCAGCAAGCAGGCAGTAAGCAGGCAGGGAGGCAGGCGGCAGGCAGGCAGCAAGCAGGCACGCGGCAGCAGGCAGCAAGCAGCAGGCAGGCAGCAGGCAGCGCGTGGCTACGGGCAGTGTGCGCGGCCGTAGGCTGCGTGCGACGACGGAATGCGCGGGCTGCGGGCTGCTTGCAGCTGCGGGCTGCACGTGGCGACAGGCAGCGTGCGCGGCTGCAAGCTGCGCTGGGCTACGGGCCGCACGTGCGCTGCTGCGGGCTGGTCGCGAAGCTACGGGCTACGCTGGGCGACGGGCCGCGCTGGCGTGGCCTAACTCGGTTGCGCGCAGGCTGCTTAAGGGGCGCATAGGTGGGGCCGAAACGGGCTGCGCGGGCTGCTGAAGCGGCGCACTTGGAAAAAAAAAAAAAAAAAAAAAAAAAAACCGAAACGGGCGCGCGGGCAGCCGAGGCGCGCGTAGGCACTAGACTAGGCAGGCAAGCGTGGTGGAACCTAATCGTAGGTCCTAAGGACCTATGCTCTATACTATGTTAGAATCATAGGCTAAAGTGGATGTCGAATGTCGAGAAGTTGGTACAAGGAAGAAACCTAAGGGGTTGTACCCCACAGTGAATAACCCACTAAGCCTACCCAAAATATAACATATATGAACATATGTTTGACAAAGTATGTATGAAGAATGGGGTGGACCCTTTGTTTTGTATTTGGTGGAGCTTGAGGTTGGATGAAGAAGAGGAGGAGATGAATGATTGTGATTGGTTAAGTTGGATAAGGTGGGGGTGTCAGAATCCCAACCACTAGACCATTGGGATAAAAGGGCTTGTTAAGTAGCGGGTCAGTGCGCCCATAACCCCCCAGGACAATGAGCCTGTAACCCTTCCCTAGGATCAATCGGGGATCACCAGTGGACCTCTGACACCCCCCCGCACTGGGATGCCCGAAGTGCACACACTGGGATTCGAACCCGAGACCTTCGCTCTGATACCATGTCAGAATCCCAACCACTAGACCATTGGGATAAAAGGACTTGTTAAGTAGCGGGTCAGTGCGCCCATAACCCCCCAAGACAATGAGCCTGTAACCCTTCCCTATGATCAATCGGAGATCACCAGTGGACCTCTGACAGGGAGTGATGAATGTGGCTTTGAATTTAAGGCTTGGTGAGTGGAATGAATGTGGCCTTGAAATTAAGGCTTGGTGATTGGAATGAATGGGGCTTTGATTTAAGGCTTGGTAAGGAATCTTTGGATTGATTGGTGGAGGAGAAGGTTGAGGAGGATTGGAGAAGATATGAGGTGGAGGATTGAAGGATTTGTATTGGGTGAAAATGGAAGTGTGCCTTGCTGACTGGAGATAAGGATGATGAAGTGGCGAATGGGTAATGTTGGGAGATGCCCTTTGCAGATTCTAATTTTGGCTGACGGGGAAACTGTGGCGAAAATTTTCGCCACGTGAAAATTTTCCCGCCACCCTGGTGCCACGTGAGCAGCAGCAGCAGTTCATTCCAACAGATTTGTGGCGCCTCAACACGCGGCTCACCCGATACGGTACCATCGGAGGCTGAGAGGCTTGCGACGAGGGCGCGGCGGCCATTACAGGCGACAAGCTGAAGCGCGATCAATGCAGTGTCTGAGAATCCAAATAAACGAGTTTCAGATTAGTAGGTTCAGCGTAACAAGTCCCGGCGTTGCGACTTCAGCATCGAGGGACTGCAGAACTTGCTCGAAGCCAACCTGAAATGATCAACGGGACATTCCCTGAGCTTGAGTTATCTGGGTTAAAGGAAAAATGTTCTACACCTCAAGCATTTCGCCTAACGAGCATGACTTCTTTTCGTGAGTTGCGCAAATGCTTGAACTCTAATTACTATTTGTCACAAGCCTAAACAAACTGAAGACCCTCACCATTACTGTGAGTGTTTATTTCACAATGGATCACACAAGCTAGTGCTAGGGCTACACTAGAGCGCCAGCTAAGGCCAATTCAACCTATGTCTGACTCAGCTTTACCTAGAAGCATCACACCTCGAACATCCACCCATGCACAAAACTCTCTTCCCTCACCACGAAAACCATGTCCGCACCACATGTCCAGTCTGCACAGCGCATCCTTAAGCGAGGCCTTCAAGTGGTGGTGACAGGTCAACAACCATCAACCAATTTGGATGGACTTTGATTCTGGGTTGACCAACTGCCAACAGTCTTTACGCATTTCCGTTTTCGCTATCAACTGTTGTGCTTCCCGAGAGTGCCCTTGCTGCTGCCACACTCTGTGGTGCACGCCGTGTTGGAGAGCGTGGAGCCCGTTTCAAGCACCAACGAGTCCTTGCGCAGGTTGCACGCTGTCACTGCACTCGAGCTGCTCGCCAGAAAGACGCTCCCCTGCTCTCGTGTGGCCACACACGCGCCACGAGACGGACACACCAAGACAAAGAGGAAAGAGGAGCAGAGGGAAGGAAAGAGGAGCAAGGGAGCAAGCGAGGGAAAGACGGAACAATTCAGATCAACAGGGTAAACGGATATTCCGGCGTGAAGGAACGAGTCGACGACGTGCGACAGGAGAGCTAACGAGAGAAAAGCAGGATAACGTGGACACGTGTCAACGGTCGGACAGGCGGATTGAGTGAAGGGATAGTGGGAGCGGCAGGGGAGAGGAGCGTACAGGGATGGAGGCGTTGTTGTTGTAGTAGCTGGCTTGGCAGAGGGTGAGACTCGAGTCGAACGCGTGCACTGCACTGCCCACCTGCAGACCATGCGCGCGCGGATGGAGAGGGAGAGAGAGACGCGAGGGAAGGAAGAGAGAGAGAGGGTCGAAGCTTGGGATATACGCGAGAGCAACATGACACGAGCGGGGAGACCGCTAGCGAGCAAACGACCGCGGCGCACGCAGCTCAACGAAAGTCAAAGTAATTCAAACACAACGCGACGTACCGCGGCGCTGTTGGCGTTGAACTTGGAGCGGTGAAGGTTGACCGTCGCCTTCATGATCGCGCTCACCGCGCCGCCCGCGGTCGACGCCATGTTGCGGTGAAACACGTTCGCGTCCGCCGTCATCTCCGCGCCCTTAGCGAGCGACACGGCGCCGCCGAACCCCGCGAAGTTGCGGATGAAGTGGCAGCGGTGGCAGTGCAGCGCGCCGCCCTCGTCCACCTCAACAGCGCCGCCTGCCGTCGTCTGCGCGGCGGGGTGGAGCGGCGGGGAAGGGGGGAGGAGGAAGGGAGGGGTGGGAGGGGATGCAGGTACGATGGGAGAGGGAGGCGAGGGAGAGAATACAGGAAAAGAATGGGTAGCTATAACAGGGGCCCATTGAGTCAGCGGAACAGTAGAATTTTACGTGCGCAGGCGACTGTGTGAGGAAGTTATGAAGAATGCATGAGCCGGACATCTCCATTCGTGTTAAAGGAACATGCGAGAAGCGCCAGGGAACGCTAACAGACCGACCTCACACCCGGTTCACCCCGTTCACCCGGCTCACGCCACACAAGCCGAGATAGCCAATCATCCACCCCTTCCCCTCTCGTTCCCGCCCAGCCAGTCACACACACACAGCGACACCAGCACCAGTGCACTCCCCGTCCCACGTCTCCAACACCCTGACTCCCACGTCGCCGCGTACCACGCCGTAGAGTCCGTTAAAGCGGAAAAAGACGCCGTCGAGCTGCGCCTGGCCGCCGTTCATGATCCAGATGGACCCGCCGCTGCCGGAGATGGGGCGCCCGCGGCTGAGCTGCAGGTTCGAGATGGCGAGCAGCCCGCCCTTCTGAACGATGAAGTGACGACTGCGGCGACGCGCGTCTATGCGACACATGCCCAGCTGCGACGCGGACGAGGGGAAGGGTAGGGGAGGATGGGTTTTCGTGATTGGGTTTAGGGAGAAGGGAGGGGAAGAAGTCTAATGCAGGGAGATGGAAGGGAGGTGGGGGGGAGAGGGGGTCAGCGAAGGTGTGTTTGCGCGGAGGTATGAGCGGAGCGGGAGCGGCGTGAGAGGATTGGAGCAGCAGGTGTGCGAGGAAACGCGCGTCTGGAGAGTCAGGGAAATCGTGCGGAACGAACGGTGACGAAAGGAAACGCTAAAGACGAGCAGTTGTAAGAAGAAAGTTAGAGTCGAGTAAAAAAACTATTTTTCCCCCGCTCGCATTCACTTTGTTTCTCTCCCTTGCTCTCCAGCCCACCCGCTTCTACCCTCACCCACTTCCCCGCCGCGTGCGCGCACCTCGGATCGCTTGCAGCGCGGGTGTCCGGTGATGTTAACGGTCCATGTGATGTTAGGCATGGGGCCCTTGAGGTAGAACGTATCAACGATCACGATCGGCCGGCGCTGGTTCAGCGCACGGATCAGCTGCCCGTAGTTAGCCACCATTGCCGGAGACCACGGATCGGTATTCCCCTTCATAGTATTCCCCACGGCCACGCCCGCGCCCGCGCCCGCGCCTGTACCCGCGCCTGCGCCCGCGCCATTCCCTTTCTTCCCCGCTTCCGCTGCTCCGGGTGGGGTTACGGGCACCGCTGTGCTGCCATTACCCGGCGCGGGAACACCGACCCTCGGCTCCGACGCAAGAGCGGGTGGCGCGGCGGTAGGCACGTCAGTTGGAACGGGGACTTTCGCCGTAGGATTGGGTTGCGCGATAGCGGGTCGGAGGTGCAGCAGCGTGAGGAGGAGGAAGGTGGAGGACAGTATAAGCACTAGGTTATGATCGCGTGGTATCGCCATTCCGTGGAGCTACTTCGCAATTACTAAATTAATGGCGAATGTGCTGTGAAGTACTGAAACGTCTAACAAGCTGTTGATAACGATATGCGGGGTGGTTTTTCGCAGCAGCGACACGCTTCGAGTGTGATGTAATAACTGGCTAGTCTAGTGGTTGGTTCCCACGTCAGTTTAGGTTTGTGCTGAACGGTATCACTTTATGACAGTGCTTTTTCCACGTACACTGCGTTAGTTCCGTACGGTTTGCCTGCTCGTTGCATCAGAAGGGTGAAGGCGATAATGAGGGAATTGGGAAATGCTCAGTGGCTAAGGAAGGATTCACCAGTGCCAACAACCCGTGAGACCAAGGCGAGTAAAGCAAGGGTGAGAGGAGACAATGGGCTGTGCAGGAAATGGACTAGGATCGGAGGAGCGCGAGGGCGGGGGATTGCGCTTTTGGCGGGTTGGCTGATTGGAAGTTGGTCCCAGACAAGCAAGGAAGCAGCAGCACGTTGGGGTGGATTCCACAGTGTGGGGCATTGTTCTGAGCTATGGCTTGAAAGAAAGCCAAACCAAACCCAGGAGTGTGAGGTGGTGGAGGGACAGATGGGCTGGGCTGGGCTGGGCAGGGCTTGGCTGGGCAGCCAAAGTCGAGTCGTCGATGAAAATGAATTCCGATCACTAAATCTAAGGCTCGAGTTCCCAAAATGGACGGGTGAGATGTTTTCCGGCATGGGCGGGACACTCGAGAAAGGGCGCTGGAATTCAAATTTCGGCCACGGTGGGACTTCAAGAAGCAATTTATCGAAGAGCCAAATTCGAGGGTAGACGCAGTCGAGTCGTACAGCGACACGGGGACGCACGAAAACAACGTCAAGAAAGCTCCCCCCCAGATCTGCCACAAACCAGAAGACCTGCCTCGAGTCGTGGGGACAGGGAATGGTTGTTGGCGCCAAAATATCCCAGGTTCCCTCCGCTTGCGATTTCCACGAACACAACCGTTGTTGCAAAACCCCTAGACCCGTCCACTAGCTCGGTCTCGAGGACTCTGTATTTATACAGTTCATTCTCTTTGTAATTATACAATCATGCTTATTGTTGAGTTGCAGTAGAAGATTGCACTAGAATATCGAAGATGTGATTGAAGTACGGTCATACAAATAAGGGCATTGACATACAGATTGAGGGAACCAAGGTATGCAGGGTCCTAAAAAATGAATGTTTTAGCACGTGATGGGAGCGCAAGGTCCGAAAGCGGCACGAGATAGGCTCGGATTCTATGATATCGTCAAATTTGGCATTCGACGTTACGAGAGCGGACCAAACGGTGAGACGAGGGGTGGTCGAACAGCCAGTCAGGGGCTTCGATGCCGATAATCAGAAGAAGTGTGTATTTGATAAGAGAATTGGTTACGAATGTGAAACTTAAGCATTATGTACTCTCTAAGATGCATCTCGGTCAAGTCTATAAGTAGTAATTTGACAGTCGAGAGGAAAACCAAGGACGAGACACGGGAGAGTGCAGACTAGGAGCTTGTCCACACGAGGGTCGCGGACGCGAGGAATGCAGCTCCAGATGTGAAACGCGCATCACCTAGGGAACTTGTCCAGAGGTGGGTTGGCGAAACCTGCGGCCGTGAGACACAAGGCCACATGTTAAGCTGGTGCACGGCGTAGAAGAATTCAAACGGCCATATTAAGTGGGAGGCACTTGCATGAATCATGGAGGTACGAATGACCTCCATAACCAAGCCAATGCGGCGCTCAACTACCCCATTATGCTGCGGCGAGTTCCGGGAATGAGTACGTTTGGGCGATGCCCTCCGCACGGAAGAACTGGATAAGGCGACCGGAGGCGAACTCGCCACCACGATCGGAGTGCAGACGAAACACAGGCTGGGCGCGTTGGGTGCGAACAACAACTAGCACGGGAGGAGGTTAGGCACGCCATCATTCTACTCCAAGGGAAACACTATGGTGTAGTGGGAGTAGTCGTCCACAACGACCAAGAAGAGGCGCTCCCGACACGACCCAGGGAACGGGGCAAATCTTCAGTGTAAAAAGGCGCTCTTTATAAATTGTATAATCTTATTATTATAATTGTTCATAGCTGTCGTATTGTGTTACAATCTAATGGTGGTGCCCCTCTTACCTCTTCTTCTTGCATATTTTTGTTCACCCATCTCCAGTATCAGAAACCTTCCCTTTCAACGCTTGTTACCTCGCCACTCTCTCCTAAGCCTAGTTCCAAAATATCATTTGACACCCGGACGTCTACGTGCAAGGTCTGAAGAGCCGCAAGCGTCGTCCTCAGTGTGTCGTGCCACCCACGAGGCGCCTGGCGGAGACTATAAACTGGCCGCCGGAGGCTCTACAAGGTGCCCGCAGGAAATGACCCAGTGAAGCCAGGTGAGTGGCACAGCCAGATCTCCTCGTGCAGGTGCCCTGTAAGAAAGCTGTGCTGAAGTCAAGAGAGTGCAGCTCGTAGTCACGCTGAGTGGCGACGTGCAGCAGAACCCGAAGAGTGGTCATTTTCGGGGTAGGGGAGAAGGTCAGGAAGAAGTCAACTTCCTGTCGCTGACTGAAGCCTCGTGCAACGTAACGAGCTTTAAAGACATGCGGAGAACCCGGCGGCCGCTTAACCCTGAAAATCCACATTCCATCGTCTGTGTTTGCCCCAGGAGGGGGAACTGCGTCGATGTAGGTGCCTGTGGACTTCCAGGATGCCATCTCTGCATCCATGGCTGTCTGCCACTAAGATGAGTAGGAACCCATAATCGCCTTTGCGTAAGAGCGCGGGGTCGGGATGTCTGGTGCATCCGGGTCTCCCTCAAGTGCAAGCAGCATGGCCACGAGATGAGGTACAGCAGCTGCAAGACACTCAAAATCCTCCTGCCTGTCCTCAAGGACGTCCGTGCCAAGAGCACCCTCACCCCCGACGAACGGAGGACAGTCAGACTCAGACTCAGCAAATAGACTAGTGGCGTAGTCGAGACGACAGGCGGCAGCAAAGTCAACAAGCTCAGCAACGAGAGCAGATGCAGCAGTGAACTCAAACGAAGGGTCATTGACAACAGTGGCTAGAACACGAGGGATGGTTGGACTGGCAGCACGAGCTAAGTCAGACTCATGGTCAGGAACGTCAGGAAGGGAGGACGCATGAAGAGACGGCAGGGGAACTCGCAGTGGAGCAGAGGAAGGACGAAGTGCCATAATGTGAGTGCCGGGGACAGAAGGAGGACGCGGACGAGGAACACGTCGACCAGTGCGAACAGCGCGAACAGGAGAGGCAGGACGAGACTCAGGCTCACGATGCTTTGTAAGAGAGTCTGTCTGCTCAGCGTAAAGAGAAGGAGCAGGCAGTGGGGAGTCTGGCTGTAACTGTGGCTGCGACTGGTGAGGCGGTGGACACAGCAAGCTAGGAGTAAGGCCAGTAAAATACGGGAGACTCAGAACCTGCCGAAGGACCAAGTCAGGTGGCGACAGAGACGACGACGGCGGCGGAACGAAAAACGGGCGCCGCTGCACAGTGCCTCTAGCACAAGGACCGCTAGCTCCAGCACCCCCAGCGCCAGCACCTCCAGCTCCAGGGTCTCCAACTCCAGCTCCTCCAGCTTTAGCACCTCCAGCGCTAGTGCCTCCTGCTCCAGAGTCTCCAACTCCAGGTCCTCCAGCTCCAGTGCCTCCAACGCTAGTGCCTCCAACTCCAGAGTCTCCAACTCCAGCTCCTCCAGCTCCAGCGCCTCCAGCGCTAGTGCCTCTAGCTCCACAGTCTCCAACTCCAGTGCCTCTAGCTCCCAGCGCCTCCGAGGCCAGGGTCTCCAGCTCCAAGGTCTCCATCTCCAGCGCCTCCAACACCACCAGCTCCTGCAGCTCCAGTACCTCCAGTACGAGCACCTCCAGGACCAGCAACTCCAGCACCTCCAGTACCTCCAGCTCCAGCAGTAACTCCAGCACCTCCAAGACTAGTAGCTCCAGTACCTCTAGCTCCAGTGCCTCCAGCGGCAGAGCCTCCAGCTTCTGCAGCGCCACTCCGAAGGCGTGTGCACTGAGCAAACTACTCGCGCAGCTGCTGCGGTGAGAGAGGCTCTCGCCGAGGAGACAGTCGTGGCGAGGCACCCACAGGACCTCCGGCAGACGCAGTACCCCTAGGCTCAGCATCCCCGAACTCTGCGCCCTCAGACTCAGTACCCCCAAGCTCCGCACCCTCAGGCTCAGTAACCCCAAGCTCCGAACCCCCAAGCTCAGCACCCCCAGACTCTGCACCCTCAGACTCAGCACCCCTAGGCTCCACACCCTCAGGCTCCACACTCGCAGGCTCAGCATCCCCAGACGCAGAACCCCCAGACGCAGCACCCCCAGACGCAGCACCACCTGAGTCTACAGCGACCTCGACAGGCACAGTCCCGGGGAGTGGGTCTACCTGAGACACACCTGAGGGAGCACGACCCTGAGGGGGGAGAGGGTATACCGGAGGGGGACCTGGAGCAAGGAAGAGCGGCGGGGGTGGGAGAGGGGCAGTGCGGTAGGAGAAGAGACGGTAAAAGGGAACCGACTCGTGAAACGTGACGTCCTGAGAGGGGAGGACACGGCGCGAGGTGGGGTGGTAAAACTGCCAACCAGGCGCGTCAGGGGGAAAGCCAAGGAAGACACAGGGAATAGCGCGGGAGGAGACCTTGTCCGCGGAATTATTGCGGACAAAGGCACGAGAGCCCCAGACCCGGAACACCGTCGCATCGCCAACCTTCCCCGTCCAACGCAGTGTAGGCAAGGTCTCAGGCAAGGAGACACGGGGCCAGTGGTTGAGCTGATGCGCAGCATACCGGACCGCAAACGGCCACAGAAGATGGGGAGCAGCCGCATGGATCATGGAGGTACGAGCAACCAGCAGCAAGGGGAAGACCGTGGTGTAACGCGTGTAGTCGTCAACAACCAGCAGGAAGTAGCGCTCGTGGTCCTGTTCACTGACGCGGGCTGGGCCCCACACATCCATGTGGAGAGTCTGCAGGGGAGCAGTCGTCGGG